AAGCAACAGAGGGTGTCTCAAGTGCCTGGCCCCTCTATCCACGTGGGAAACCCAGAAGCTTCTACTGGCTCCTGCCTGGTAGCAACCTGGGAAGTGAGTCAGCAGATGGAAAAATCCCAGTCAATCAATATCTGTCTCTGTCTCTCTCTCCCTCTTTGTAGCTCTGCCTTTCTAAATCCTGAAGAAAAACTAAGAGCTGTTGACAAGAGCAAAAGCAATGGGGGCCCAGCCAGGACCCACACAACAGTGGGGTGCTTGTGCAGACACTGAAATGGGGACCTCACAAACACCAGAGCCAGTGTAGAGAGGGAGGAGCCATCACCTACAGACAAGTCACATGAGGTTCACCACTGTGAGCATCCCTGCCCCTGTGCTTCACCCCAATACATATCCCTTCCATATGGAAGGCACCTCTCAGGTGCCCCATTTGCCCTGATCTTGTTATGCTCATTAGCTTAAATTCTTACCTTGCACACATTGGGATCCCATATGAGCACTGGTTCATGTCCTGACTGCTCTACTTCCCTTCCAGCTCCCTGCTTGTGGCCTGGGAAAGCAGCTGAGGATGGCCCAAAGCCTTGGGACCCAGCACCCATGTGGGAGACCCAGAAGAAGCTCCTGGCTTCAGATCGGCTCAGCTCTGGCCGTTGCAGCCACTTGGGGAGTGAGCCAGCAGATGGAAAAATCTTTCTCTGTCTCTCCCTTTCTCTCTAAATCTGCCTTTCTGATATAAATAAATCTTAAACATTTTTAGAAAAAGTGTTTGAAAGAAAAAGAAGAAACAGATCTTCCATCTGCTGGCTTACTCCCCAAATGACCCCAATGATCAGAACCGGGCCAGGCTGAAGCCAGGAACTTCTGGGTCTTCCACATGGGTGCAGGGGCTCAAGCACTGGGATCACCATCTGCTGCTTTCCCGGTGTGTTGGTAGGAAGTCAACTGGAAGTGGAGCAGCCAGGACATGAACAGGCACCTATACGGGATGCCTGGGTCATAGGCAATGGTTTTACTCATGTCCCCACACACCGGTTTTCACTTTTTTGTTTTCTTCGTGTTGACTGTAACCCACTTGTGATGTTTAATTTCATGTATTATTGTTTCTGGACCACAGGTTGCCCAGGTATTTGGGTAAGTACTGTTTCTGGATGGGTCTGTGAGTCACCTTCTGGAGGAGATCAGTACTTGAAAGGGTGAACAGAAAAGATCCCAAGGCCTCCTCAGTGTGATGGGCTTTCGCCAATGCAGGCAGGGCTCCGCCATGGCGGAGGGAGGGAGAGAGACGTCACACTGGAACTGGGCCAGCCATCCATCTTCTGCCCTCCACACTCCATACTAAAACTCGCACCAGCAACCCACGCTCTCAGGCACCTGAGCTACTCCACTGGCATGGCTGGGCGTCCAGTTTGCAGAGAGCAGCTCCTTGCCCTTACAATCCAGGGGGACTAACAGGGGCAGGAGGAGGGGGAGCGGAAGGGGGAGAGAGAGGAGAGAGATACCCAGAAACACAGCATCTTAGTGGTGTGTCTGGAAACCCTCAACTCACACCACTGAACCCCCCTTCTGCCAAGTATCACACACCTGTGACGACGAGGGGCTCTGCTGCGTCATGGGATGCCATGTATCGTTCTGGATAGATCTTGCCTATCATCAGACAGGGTTTTGCCAATGTGCCCTCCACAGACAGGCCCCGAAGGTGTTGCTGCCCAGCTTCCTCACCAACTCTTCCCCCGCCAGACCTCCTAGCTCACCAATGTTATGGGTGGGGGAGGGTGTCTTGATGACTAGCCAGCAGTTCCTTGGTCAGCTGCAAGGCCAAGTTCATTTGTCTCCCAGACATCTTCTTGTTCTTCATGCTATCTGCCTGTTCTTCGATTCTGCTGCCTCTATTCACTGAATTGAAAGAATTCTTTATACAGACAGAATACTAATTGTTTACAGCTAATTCACAGGGAATATTTATTCCGGCTTGACAGAACGTTCACAGACGTTATCAACAGGCGTTCTCTGATGCATGTATGCACAAGGGTGTGACCTCTGCCCACCTCAAAAACACACAGAAAATATCTCCTACGTACTTTGACACTTGGATCCAAACTCCGGGGATCTAGTTCTCTGGGCATCTGTGTGTGTCTGCTGTGAGCGTGGGATCTCACTGTATCCTTCCCTCCTCCCTCGTTCCGCCATCCTGCACCATATCCCACTGGATCCGTGCCACGCCTCTGCCACTCAGGTGAGAGCTTGTTCTGAGGCTTGCTATCGGCTCCAGCAACCCTCTGTGCCACCGCCGGCCTTGTCTCCCACGTCTTAGTCAACCAGCTCTCCCTCCCTCCCAATCTCACTGCCCTGGTCCCGTGTCACCCTCGCCCAGCGCTCTGACCTTGGATTTTCCCTTCCTGTCCAGCAGCTGGGAATTTCTTTCTCTGGAGTTTACATTTTGCAGGCATTTTCAGCCGGATTTGACACAACTCAGGGACCCGTCCTGACGTGGGAGCACACTGGCACTGCTGATGTATTCTCAGCCAGCTACTTCTGTAAACGTGACATCTCATTTCAGATATTTTCCAAGGCTTGCTGCAATTGCAGCACGTTTTATCAGCCTTCCCAGCACCGCTTCCAGATAATCACTGGATTCCCGTTTGACTACTTACTACACTTTACACACCAAGGACCAACAGGATGGATACCAAAAATAGTGAGGGCTAGAATTCAATTCGTACAGAATATTAAAAAAAAAAACTAGAAAAGTGTTTCCTGAAAGTGGAAGCAGTATCAGAAGGTGATTAGCCAATGAAGAGCCATGGGGGCACTGCAGGTACCCGTGTCCTGCACTTACAGAACAGCTCCACTGCACTCAACAAGTGAGCAAGCCGGGCCTTCTCTCCTCACTGCACGTTTCCTGCCAGAGTTGCTCTGGCATAAGTGACATCTAAAAACCCCCATCTTGTGGCCACTTTTGTTTCCCAAGCAAGAGCGGGATTTTCCGCAGGCGAGCTGCAGGGCCCCAGGAGGACCCCAATCCCCTCCGTGAGAGGCCTGTGACACCGCAGACGGGCAGGTGGGATCTAGGGGACACTATTTATCACCATTCATGTGGAAGTTCTAACAGTATTCCAGGACATGCAAACCCCCCAGTAAGGCTCAGAAGAAGGAAAATGAACACCCCATGCCTTAGATGTATCAGCTGGGTGGTTCCATGGCCCCACTCGCATGCAGTAACACCCAGGTCCAGCAAGGCTCATGAAGCTAGAGCCACAGCGAACAGCTGCCCCTGCAAACAGCATCTCCCTTCCCACCAGGTGTAAGTACGAGCTCCTCCCTGAGCCGACTCCCAAACTCTTCAGTGTCTTCAGGGCTGACGGTGGCTGATGCACTTAATAAGTTCAAGACTGATGGATGTTTACAACACCAAACAGACCATCCAAGGAACAGAGCAGGCCTTGCTGTGACACTGCAAGTGCAAGGTCCTCAAGAAATTCAGGGAAAGCTATGCAATGATATTTAAAAAAAAAAAAAGTTGCACCAAAATAAGCTGATCCTTTAATTCCATTATTCCAAGTTTCGGGATACCCTTCATAAATTCACAAGCTGTTTAAAATCTGACAGCCAAAAAAAAAAGCTGTTCAGAGATGACTCAGACTCAGCTTGGGCACAAACACATGACAAATCATACAACCGTTGAGTTGTACCTAGTATCCCTGGGTGGGGTCCAACTGTTCAAGAGCTCTTAGTGCCTTAGGGATGAGCCTCACAAAAACCACCATGGGACTCACCTGGGACAAGTGTGACAAGAATGCTCCCAGATTGGACAGGAAGCAGGGGCTGCGACTATCTGTGGCTGCCAGACTGTAGGATGGAAGCCGGGTTCAAAGAAGAAGTGGGTGAAGCCGCCCTGCGAAACACACCTCTCTCTAGGTTGCTTCAAACTGCAAGAGTGCTGGCCTTCTGCAGCCCCCAGACGCAACATGGCAGTTTTGAACCTCAGTCTCGACATGCCAGAAGCCCACCCTTGCCCCTGACAGTCACATCCATTCTCTGAGTTAGCACACAGATTTTCCAGTGGGCCACCTAAGGGTGTTTGTCTCCTCTGGGAGTCCCAGAGCCACCAGGGTCCTACTCAGAAACTCTAAACTAGTAGGTGTTCCTTCCCTTGAATACACAAGAACCCAGACCTGCCCTGGAATTCTGGACATGGAAACTGTATACCCGACTTGTCCTCCTAACCTGTGACATTTCCTTCTGTGCCCTGCTCTCCAACATATCCCAACCCATACCCAGCTCACCTGCAGCCAAGATGCCTGGTGTGTGCTTAGCCCAAGAAGAGCAGAGCCAACACAACCCAGAACCCGTGTCCTCTAGATCTGCCCTGTAAGGCTCCACTCCAACAGTGCTGTGAGGCTAAAGCAAGTCAAGTGCTGCCCTTGGCTCAGTGGGATGAGCCTGTGACACCATTTTTCATCCAGGGCAGTGGCAACATGGGGCCACCCTTCAACCCTGGCAAGCTGACAAGGCCTCTGACCACAGATCCTTCTGCTCAGTCATTCACCATGACTGACTCGTCAAAGCAGGCCATCCACTTCCCACGCTGGCTAGTGGAAGGTTTCAGGAAGCACCTCAAGCCAGCAGCACGCTCTGCCTTCAGTGGCAACAGAGATCCAGGCTGGAATCACACACATACATGAGTGCCAGAGGCCAGTGAGAATGGCAGCTCCCAGAAGCACTCATATGACGAGGTGTGGACAGGTGGGATGGGGCTGTGTTTTTCTGTTGTCACACGGTAGTGACTCAATGTCCAGCAGTAACACGCCAAGTCAGTTCACTCCTTGGCTGTGAACCAGATCCCAGCCTCAAAAGCCCTGTGTTCGGGCACCCCAAAGGTCCAGGAAACAAAGAACCACAGCAATGAGACTCCCTTGATCCAGCTCTGCCTACTGCATCCTGCCCCCCTAGTGAACTAATCCCACCCCCAGGGCAGAAGCCAGTGCAGGCCTTGGATTTCTTACCAGAAACGGGTGGTTTAGTAATATCCCAAGAAATCTCCTGCTGAGTGGATCTTTCTGGAATAAAGCAAAAAGCAATGAAGATTAGTTTGATTTCAGAAATGAAACAGGTGCTTCTACACAGCAGCTCCTTCAAGTCTAAAATTCTAAATGAGTAAGAAATTCAGAATCACCTGTCAGAGAGAACAGATTACAACTCCAATGAGGTGAGCAAAAGTTACATCAAATAAATGATTAAAATGTGTGTTTAGGCATTCATCACGTAATTATGACCTTGAATACGAGGTGATGGGTAAATCGGGGCCATGCTAGAGGGAAAGGTAATGTGCATGTTAATGGAACTTACAAAGCCCATGTAAATATGCATTTTCCACAACACAATTTGACACAGGAGTTTACAGAACCTGTGTAGCATGCCACTCTCAAGACTGGGGCTAGGGGATGGCATAGAAGGGAGACAGCACCTGCAACACCGCATCCCACAGAGCGCCAGTTCAAGTCCCAGCTGCTTCAATTCTGATCCAGCTCCCTGCTAATGCACCAAGTGCTTGGACCTTGGTCGCCTGTGTCAGAGACCTGGAAGAAGCCCCCGGCTTCAGCCTTGGCCTAGTCTTGACCACTGCAGTCATTTGGGGAGTAAACTAGCAGATGGAAGATCTCTCTATCTGTCCTTCTTTCTCTGTAATGCTACCTTTCAATAAAGTTCTAAAAATGTGTTTTGAAAAAGACTGAGGTTGATGCACACGCTGAGGGGTGGGGTTAAGGGAGAGAGGCAGGACCACAAAAGGAACCAGGGAGGAAGTTCTGCTCCCTCTGTCAGGGTCCCGGTACAGCCTTCCCCTCAGCAGGATGCATCCCAAAGAGAAACGGAGAGGCCAGCAGGTCTCTCACACGTGCCTTGAACATAGGAGGCTTTGTAAACAGAGCAAGCCAAGAGATCAACAGGCTCCAAGGCCAGGCCTTTGGCTGGATCAGGTCAGGCACCAATGGCAAGGGTCAGGGGTCAGCTGGGGGATTGCACTTGCCCAGCATCTTACCTAAACTCTTCTCCCTCCAACTAGGCTGAAGACCAAGGAACTTAGTGAGAACACCCTTGATGGCCATCTCCTCCTTGGGGCCTTCTGGGTTGGGAAGCACAGGTTCAAGGCCTGTCCTGCACAGCTGCACCAGCTGAAGAGTTTACCTTCAATCGGATCCTGAGCTCTGACATCAGAGGTCAGAAATCACCCCCGACCCAAGCCCTAGGCTAGCGGCACCTGCAGACCAGAGCTTCAGCCTCATCACAGAGCAAAGCCAGGCATGTCTACCCATTCAGCTTCCTCAGGGAGTCCTTCACCCCAGACTGGCCCCGTGCAGCAGTGCCCAGTACAGATACAAAGGAAAAATGGCTGGAGATGTTTCCATTTAACCAAGGCATCTGGTCAGAGAGCACAGTTACTATCTGCTGGCTCCTCCTCGGGAGTGACTGGACAGTGGCAGGTGCTGGGTTTCTGATGCTCAGCTGGCCTGGCACTGCCTGCTCCTTCCAGCTCCAGATTCTGGCCCTTGTTAGGAAAGTCTCGTCAGCACCTCCAAAGGCCCAGACAGAACATACCCTTTGCAGAGTACATGTCAGGTGGGGTGGGGTTACTGAGTCCTTCCAGCACCAGCAAAGGTCCACAGCGCACCAGCCCTGGTTGTCATGAGGGAGACATGCGCACCAAGGACTGCTTCGCCAGGAAGGTGAGATGCCACCCAAGCCCACCAGGATGGCCAGGGCACACACTCACATCAGGTGCATCCCATTTTCCCATGGTGACCTCCAAAACGCAGTGGCTTCTGGGATACCCGCGAACTGAAGGCAACAGCCACAGCAAGTACACTTCCTGGGGGTTAGGGATAAGGCCGTAATTCCTCTTTGCCATGTGACAGCTCCATGGTCCCACACACTTCAGTGGGTACCAGGTTCCATATGCATCATCTCCTCCAAGCTCATACTGGAGTTTGATGCCCACTGTGAGATGCCATTAACCCAGCTAGGAGGCTGGCAGGGGGAGCTGTTGGAGGGTCAAGGTCAGGGAGCTCTTCTAGGTGGAGCCCCTGAGATCTAATCCCCGTGCCGTGAGAGAAACAGAGATGGAGACAGACCAGGGGACATGCCCCTGGGTGTTCCTGCCCAATACCAGGACAGGAACCTATAGATTCTGCTAGCAAGAAGGTCACCACCAGGTTCAGGTTTTTGACCTTGGGCCTGAGCCAAGATAAACCCCTTGCTTTATAAGGACCCGGCATAGGTGTTTCATGATAATGACTGGAAATAGACAAACACAGAGGAGCAAGCATGTCTGCCGGTCGCTTTCCCCTCCAGGCTGCAGCTCTGGGAGGTAGTGACCACAGAGGCCACCAGGAAAAGCCCAGAAGTCCTGGCTGCCCATAAGAGACTGGAATCCTACGGACAACTCCACCGGATCCTCCCCTCTGTACCCAACCCAGCCAAGCCACAGCCGCCAGCACCATTCAAGCCACCATGGGCCTGTGGGGGATTCCATGTACCATGAAGAACAACTTCTCCCACCTGCCGCTGGCCCCAGGCCACCTTGAGAAAGCCATGCAAGCTGTGGCCTACATGGCTCATCCAGGACACGGTCTCATTCATGTGCCTCCCACAGGCCCCGCATGCTCGCTCCACATGGATTCCCATCAAAGGCACGGGATCTTCAAAGCGAGGAGCAGCTATGGCCGCACGTAGCACCTTACATAACATCTGTCCCAGAGCTGCAACGGGCCACCTACAAACTCGATTTAGCAGTAGCACTTAAATGCCTATTTATACACCTCGCATAGCCTCCCCGTGGACAGCACAGGCATCAGGGCTGCGGGCTCCCGTCCACTGTGACTCATTGACATTCTTCTCATGTTCGCCTTCTCTCATTTCCCAGCCATGCTGAAACTCAACAGCAAGGTCACCTACCACTGTGTCCAGCACCATTTCTATCTTTTCAGGGAGAAAGCTTCATTTTCTTCTTGGGGTGGCCATGCTCCTGTCCTCAGACTCATCAGGCCACCCCATGTGTCCCGGCTAATGTGCATGGTGTTACCCAGGTGATCTGAGCCTCCAGACAGATAATTTACCTTCTAACCACCCCCCACAAGGTCAGGGGACCCAGGAGGTGTCAGAGGAGCCAGCAGCTTCCCCACACCTGGCCAGGCATGCTTGGGGAGGGCCAGGAAAGGTAAAGAATCCAAGGTAGCTCAGAGCACCTCAGGACCTGGGGTGTCTTCTTGCCCCCTACATGCTAACCATGGGATTCTCCGGGTTCCCTTCCCAGGACCTACACAGAAGAAGTGGCCTCATCAAGAAGGAGACATCTGGAAGGCCTCCAGTGTTGGCTCGTTTGGACTGCATGGTTGGGGACAGGGCTCCATCAAAGAAGCCACATGGGCTGAGACCCCGGCCCAGGCAACACGTGCGAGGCTTGGGCCCGGAGTGCAGGCAGACATGGGGGTGCTTATTGGAATGTGTCATCTGTACCCTTTCCCAGTAGACGCTCACAGCTTCACCAATTCTCCCATGACAAGATCAGTAAGGAACAGAACAGGAGAGGGGGCACGAGTGTGTCTGGCACGGAGAGGCTGAGATCGGGTGAGGTTAAGCAGTCTCATGGGAGAACAGAGGACTCCGCCTTGGGGTGGTGAGGGTCCCGCCTCTGACATCTGTAATGGCATTTCTTCTTGCCAACCCTTGAGCTTTAGGGTCCTTAGGTTCCATGGGTAACCCAGCATTCTGCAAGGGGCTGGCTGCTGGCCCTTCTGGTTTAGAAATATCTGGCACCACCGCACCCCCAAGCCCTTGTAGAGCAAATCAGGTTTCAGAAAGTGGAATAAGCCAGATTCAGTGAAGCACCTGTGGACAGAGGCCCTGGGGCAGAACTGGAAGCAGTCCATGCAAAGCAGCACAGCCAGAAAGATGGGGGAAGGTCACAGCATGCCTGAGGCAGCACACTGCTGAGCTTGGCTGCAGCATCCAGAGCCTGCCCAGTGCTACAGGCAGGACAATGACTCTGGCCAGGGGGAGCGTGGATGGGACTTCATGCTCCCTGGCCTTTGTGGGCCAGCCCACCCTGCCATGGGGCTCCCTTGCACCGTCATGCCTCAGGAGGGGAGGAAGGGAAGCTGGCAGCTGAGCCAAAGTCAGCACTTGGCAGGTCAGTGGTGGACTGCCGGGCCCTGGTTCTGCAGCCCGGCACGAGCTGCCCAAGGAAGAAGCAGGGAGGTGGCACAGGGACTCTGCCCTTGCGGCTGGAGCCACAGGGCACTCGAACACAGGCTGCTCTCTGTGGGGCGGGGACCCAGGGGTCCACTGCTTCGTCACGGGACACGCAGGGACAGTGCTTAGAGGGGCAGAACAGGGTCCTTCCAGGACACAGAAGCATACCCAGGATGGATTACAGGTTCTCAGAGTAGTGGGAAGAGGCCAGGAAGCAGGGGGTGAGGGACAGTGACAGTAAACCTGGGGGATGGTTCAACCTGAGCAAAACCGAAAATACTGCTCAAAGATCTTTAAATTCTGAATAACTGAGTCCCAAAGCTAGCGGCAGAAGAACCTGCTCTGTGCCAAGAAGCTGCCTACAAAGACAAGTGTGCCACGCCCTCTTCTGGACCTGCATCTCAGGATAAAACACCAAGAGCACCATCTGGGGACCAGCTGACTATCACACTGGCCTTCAGTAGTCTCAGCAATGGTTTGGCAAGGCAGAGGCTGACTTCCACACACAGGGCTGAAGTTGTTTAGGAAATGATGGGCAGATGTTTAGAGCAGCAAGTTAAGACGCTGTGTGGGCCACCTGCTTCTGTACCACAGTGCCTGGGTGTGAGTCCTGGCTCTGCTTCCAATCCAGCTTCCTGCCAGTGCACAACCTGGGCGGCTGTAGGTGATGGATCAAGCACTGGGGGCCTTACCGTTCCTCTGCTGGAGCTGAATTCTAGGCTTCCAGCCCAAGCCAATCCTGGTCATTGTAAACATTCTCTCTCTCTCATGTTCTCTGTCTCAGCTTTTCAAATATATATATTTTTCTTGT